GAGAGAGAGAGAGAGAGAGAGAGAGAGAGAGAGAGAGAGAGAGAGAGAGAGAGAGAGAGAGAGAGAGAGACTCTCTCTCTCTCTCTCTCTCTCTCCTTGCATCCCACCACACATTCGCCATGTACAGCATCCCCTACCTGCCACGCACATGGGAGTATCTCAATGAGCTCATCATGTCCACCACCAGCAATTGCAAATCCCTTTCCCGCCTTTCCCTGCATATCACGGAGGCATCATCCGACAGGCCATGCGATACCTCCAAGTCTGATCTGCCCCGGCGAGACACTGATTGCCTCGACTCCGATCTGCCCCGGCGAGACGCTGACTTCCCCGACTCCACAATGGTTGGAGTCTCCCTATGTTCACTTAAAGACTAAGAGTCAACCGTCAACTAAGTAAGATGCGATTTGATTTGTAGTAGATGGGAAAAAAAAACGGCCCGGATCTTATCTTCACTGGCGATGTGTTTGATGGAGTGGAAACAAGGTACAAGGGGCGTCTTTGCTTTGGATGGATGTCTGAGTGGTTGAAGGTATCAGTCTTGAAAACTGACATATTACAAAATATCGGGGGTAACGAGACATGGAGCAGCTCGGGACGTCAACAAAGAACTCCAGCAGCTGTGGCCTAAATGGACCAAGCTGCCTCACAGGGACGACGACGGCCACGAGAGACGACGATGACCTCCCGCACGGGTTCGCCACCGCTGCCTCCTCCTTCAACCTGCACGCCCATTCTGGCAGCCCGCGCATATTTCGTTCTCCTGGGCCGCAGCATGGCTGCGGCGGGTCCACTTGTTATGATAAAATGTCAGAAGAAAAGGATTCATCACTGAATCGGCAGTTGATTTATGGAACAAGCATAAAACAGTAATAAAACTACAAGAAATTCTGAGAATCACGCAACAGGATAGCGCTGCAATTGCATCCTGGTTAAGCTGAAGCAATTCAGATGCTGCGAACAGAGTCACAAAATCTACCAAAACACACAACTGAATCCAACTGGAATCACGGTCAAATCCGGCCAGATTGAGTCAGATCCATGAAACAATCACTACCTCACGCAAATCGATCGGTGGAAACAATCAATCAACAATCAATCAAAATTCCACACCGAACTTTAAGGTTAATTAATTCTCTAACAAACGAGGCTGTAATCACAGTCAGGTTCAATCGAACCAATTCCATTTTCAATGGAACATTTCTGAAGCACTGTTGGTGAACACCTACTGGAGAATTGGTGTGGTGTTATGATCCTGGCCAATTTCGAAGTACACATTCATGAGGAAGCACAATGCCGTCCAATTGCAAAACGAAATGAATGAACTTGAGAGGAGAGAGAGGGAAAGAAGAAGAAGAAGAAGAAGAAAGAAAGAAGAAGAAGAAGAAGAAAGAAAGAAGAAGAAGAAGATGTACACCAGCAAAGACCGGTGATAATTCCCTTCGCTGATGCAGAATCAATGCCCAAATCCCTCTTCTACTGCAGGTACAACATGAGGTCCACCATAGCCATGGCCACCCTTCTCCTTCCTCTTTGTTACATGCTGCGCCTGCAACAGGCTGCACGGGCCATTCCCAGGCCCGTGACGTTTTCAGACCAAAAGCCTGAAAACAAGGGCCTACAGGCCCTGTGTCGTTTCAGCCTGAAAGCCTGAAAACAAGGGCCTACAGGCCCTGCGTCGTTTCAGGCTAAATCAGGGCCTTTCCGGCCCTGAGTGTTTTCAGCCTGAAACTGAGGGCCATTTCCGGCCCCTCATCAGTTCGACCTGCCCTGAAACTCAGGCAACAAACCAGGGTTTTAGCACAGGCCATTTCGGGCCTGTTTTCAAGACAACCCCTGGTTGAGCTTCAACGCCAGTGTCTGGCACGTTTCGGCATTGGCAAGAGCAGCCTCCTGGACGGGCCAGCACTATATAGGACTGGCCCGCCCTACAGGCAGGCAGGTAGTTCCTAGGTACTTCCCAGACACTTCACGTGCAGTTCAGGAGGCAGGAAGTAGTCATCACGATTCGGCAACAGCACTCTGGAGGAGCGCTGCGGGAGTAGTAGTAGCGTTAGCAGTAGTCTTCAGCGCTGGGCGCAAGTAGCGATAGCTACAGTCTTCAACGCTGGGCGCCATAGCAGCTAGAGTAGTACTAGAGAGAGAGAGATTGGGCGGAGGCCAGAGGGACTTACCTGCAGCGCCATTGCTCCAGCTTCGTCTTCGAGGTACCTGCAGCACAGCGCCATCTTCACAGGTTAGTACCTGGCACATGAGAGAGAGAGAGAGTTCTTCTTCTTCCTCTTCTCAGTCCACCATCTCCT